ACCTCCCCATGAAGTATGTGGCACACTCACCAGAGTACAGTGGCTATGACCTCCCCATGAAGTATGTGGCACACTCACCAGAGTACAGTGGCTTTGACCTACCCATGTAGTATGTGGCACACTCACCAGAGTACAGTGGCTATGACTTCCCCATGAAGTATGTGGCACACTCACCAGAGTACAGTAGATTTACTCTTCCTATTGAGTCTGTGGCACAATCACCCAAGTAAATTCTAAATGAGAAATTGACCTAACTAACTAGTCTGTGTGTATTTTTTCAAATTTCTTGGAAGGGAATGATAAAACCATAGTATTATTGCGTTATTAGCTACGACACAAGGCCATTATTTGATTTCCCATATTTGACAATGTAAGCGTTGCATATCACTCATTCAAAACCACAAGAAATGATTGTCAGTAAGTTACATGTAGTGCAGTACAACAAATCTACAGTATTCTCATATTAAAGGACAAACTTTTCAAACATCTGCTCAATAAAAAAAACACAAGTCTAATATCAAAGCTAACAGGGATTGAACAGCAAGCCTAATCTGATCACATGCTTGTCAGATCAAAGAGTCTAGTTGGTGAGAGCCGAGGCACACAGCCATGCATGCCACATTAAAAAAACAGTTAGTGTGAGCCAAAGTAGTCTGGTCACATACCTGCCAGATCACCAGACCAGTTGGTGTGAGCCAAAACACAGTCTGGTCACATGCCTGCCAGATCACCAGACCAGTTGGTGTGAGCCAAAACACAGTCTGGTGACATGCATGTCAGTTAAAAAAACAGTTGTGGTGGGCCAAGTAGTCTTGTCACATCCCTGCCAGATCGCCAGAGAGACCAGTTGGTGTGAATCGAAGGACAGTTTCATTACATACCTATCAAATCACCAGAAAGACCAGTTGGTGCGAACCGAGCACAATTTCATCACATACATATCAGATCACAGACACAAATTGAGGACAAAACACACAGCCTGATCACATGCAACATTCATAAATAAAACAACTTAACCCTACCTGACCTAGGTTCCACTTATCCTAAGTATTTTACTGGATTTTACATTGAGAGGATCAAGCAACCAAAATTAGATCACAGTGTAAGCAGTGCAAATGATTTTGGACAGCAGTGAATTTGTACCTGTTTGCTGCTTCTACTAGAGCCTTTTCATCTGGTGAAGACGCCTGATATTCTAGCTCACTGGGATTGAGTGCTCCACCATCTACTTCAGTTTTACTACCTCCACCTGAGGTATCCTTTCCTACTTGTACAACATGGCACACTGCCAGCGCTTGCAGAAATTCACACATTTTATCCTGTGAATGGTCAATAAAAATAATACGAGTCATATACGTGTAACATACAAATTCACATTTTCAAAGCTATTTTGTCATTTTTCTAAATTTCAGCCATTTTCACCTACCAGATTTCTGATTGCTCATGACCAAAGTTGGTGAAAAAGTTCATAATAAATGTATTCTATTTAACACTTCCTATGTCAATTTCTTTGTATTCTCCTTTAGGACCATATTAAAGACAACGAAAGCAATACAAATATTATTACCTGATCTTCCGATGTAATGAGAAGTTGTCCATCATCAGTGGTGTCCTCTGGCTGCAATACTCCATCTACCTTCTGTGTATAGTTTACCATCAATTGAACATTTTCTAAATGTCATGACATTCTCTGTAAGGGTTCCTGTTTTATCACTGAATAAATATTCAATCTGTCCCAGCATTTCAATTAAATCTGATGTATTTGCTTTGGCAGGTTCATCTGTATTCTATAAAAACATGAGATATTTTAACTTAATGTCTAAGAAACTTTCTTATTGGGTGAATTCTACAATGAATGGGGGCACTGTCCAATCAGAATGTAGTTTACATCAACTGCATCTGTCATCAAATGAACAATTCTGAGAGAGACCCATCCCAATGTACATTGAACTAGTGAACATATGACAAGGATAAGAATATTTGGCAGGAGATAATCCAGCATCAGCGAGTGTGTTATTTTGCATCCTCATCACCAGTAATATTATTAATATGACATATTTTGATTTGGGCTGATGGCCTTGTATTTCAGTAAATTGTTTTTTTATACTTTTATACTATTACAAAACTATTAAGAACTTGAAAACAATTTTAAGCCTACCTCATCATACAGATCAAGATCCCAAGGGAAGAACATAGAAGCACCAAACTTTACCAGCTCTGGAGACAGAAAATTAAAACAAAATTGAGAATTCAAAGCATAATAGGAAAATCAATCTTGTGGCTGGAAGAAGAAAGAAGATACAGCAGGCAAAACAAACCATTCGTGAAATAACAGTTGCATTAAAAAACAGCTGATTTGCATAAATACCGGTAACTACCATAAATACTAGTAGGTGTACACAACAAATCCATTAAAAGGGGTGTATTCAAACCAAATCACATCTAGAGAAGGAAATCAACTTACCTAACGTAACATAAAGCGATATAGGAATAATATAACTAAATAATACCAAGAAAGCTAAGATATCCTCAATGACTTTACCAGCCTAACAAATCAAAATTAAAAACAAAAATTAAAATAAAACAATCATGGAAGAGAAGAGGGGTGACATGCAATGCTGAATGCTATTGTAGCTTATTGTTACATATTAGGTTTTAGGGATGATGGACTTACTGTGAAAAAACTGTCACATTGTACCAATACTGAATACAGAAATATTAAAGATACAGCTGTAGTTGAAGCATAAATCGTCAACTCTTTGAGATTACCCACCCTTTGATTGACATTTTTTAGAATGTACACCTCCAAAAATGTCTCCTTTAACAATAAAAAACAGATTTGCATTTCAGATTTTTCCAATAAATATGTAAAAGTGGCATGTGAATACGTTATTTGTATCTATTTATGGCATGTTAAAATTAATCCAACAAAAAAACGAAAAATTGTTATCTCTCAGAGACAGAAGTAAGGAACTGTTTGGGCAAAGAATTTCTTCAAAATGGGTAAAGTTTACACTGGAATCGGCATAACTTTGAAAGTTTATCTGTTTTTTCATTGTATACCATTGAAATTGTATGCCTTGTTTTCTCAACACATGTCAACATTTCCACTAACAGGGATTTAAGTAAAACAACAGGCTATGATCAGAAACATTGAAATTTTCGCTAACCCGAATACATTAACGATGTTATTTTGTGGGCCTGGTTCACTCTATAATCTATAATTAAAGTTGTATTATTGAATATATTTAGTTTGTAACCTTTCAGGTATGGACTAGTATATACCAACAATGGGTCAGTACTTTTTTTGCAAACAGCTGAACAATATCAGACATTTATGTCAAAATTGTTGTGATCACATTTTTTGCTTCCAGAGTGCCATCAATACCTGGAACATTTTATAATTCCTCAAAGTTATTTGTGTTTACAAGCTGGATTCAAATAATGTTGCATGATGGGACATTAGGTAGCTTGGAAAAGAAATAAATCAGTCAGGTACCTACACGATCAACTCACAAATGAAGTAACTACTGATTTCAGTTTTTTGCTTCTTTGATTCAAAGACAGAGCTGGTAGTGAATACAGAAAAATCATGCTCAGCATTATTTCCACCAGCTGCAGGTTTTCTTTTGTGAGAATTCAGAGTTGAAAGTCAAAGTAGCAGATGATACTTACAGTAATGGTTTTATTCTCTTCTGCCACATACCAAGATTGTTTATACACATCCGTGCTTTCATACCAATAAAACAACGCAGCACACAAAGACGATTGGACAATCAACCAGTTAGGCAGAATATAAGGCAATCATTCATTGATCTGAAAATTAAATGTGTGAAAATTATCAATTTCATTGGAATTCTGGTAGTAATCTGGCAGTCCTTCTCACAACATCCTATCAATGCCTGAATATCCAAGTCAAAATAGCTAGTTTTTTGGAAAGACGACAGTTTGAACACAAATATGCGATTGTGAATGTCAAGTTCCATTCTCGGATTTCGACCCCCAATCAAAAGAAGAATAACATAACAGTGGAATTTGTACTTGTGCAGTTCTGACAACAGTAATGTTTTAATATGACTAATGTACTTACGATTCTATTATGGAAACTTTCAAGCCTTTCTGCTTAGAATTTAATGCCATTTTGGTTTCCTGTCCAGTATATATTGCACAACCTAAAGAAAGGATGACAATAGATGACAAAATCAAAATTTTTCACTTTTCACAAAATTTATCTGCATACTTCTTTCTATACAAAATTTTTGACCAACAACTAATCAATAGAATTTTTTTTTCAAAAAAAAGAACTAAATCATTGAAATATTCATAAAAATGTGTAAAATATTACACTGAAATTTTGGTGGAAAAATTGTGGCATTCAAAGGGAGATTCTGTAAAGACAATTTTTCAGTATTTTGCTATTAAAAATTCACTGAAAGTTTACAAAGAATATACCGGTAGATGTCAACCATTCAGAAATTATACACTTTGGCCAAGATGCACATTCATATAGTGAAAGAAATTTCAAATATTTTTATTAAATTGTATGAGATACCCTGGATACAATCTAGGATCAAACCCAAGTGTGTCAAGTGATGCATGATGATCAAATTAGCAAGTCATAAATTAGGAAATGTGTAATTTTGAATCCATTTTTTAGGTCATTGTTTGTTTTGTGTCTTTAATTGAATTATCCAAAGATGCCCTCAGACATATACAGAAGATACAGGGACTGGCAACAAGTGCAAACATCAAATGAAATAGAATGCTGAAACATGAGACTTCTCTTGGTGCATCATGCTCCATTGAGTATTAAGTATGTGTGCACATGCAACAAATCCCCAATCATTTGTATAACCCTCTTTCTAGGAGTTTTTCAAAAACATAATGTATCAATCATATTCATAACACTGTGCAGTGTGAATATTACTGTCCACATTATATTTGCATAGATTTGTTTTTCTTTGAAAATTGTATTATATTTTTTTGGATTGAGTTAAAAACAAGCGTTTTGCATTGCACTGTCCCCATTGTGTACTATAGGTATATAGATTTCTGTTGTTTGTTATAAAGTGAATAATAATAGTAGAATAGTAAAATATAACAGCAGAGCGAAAACCTGTATTCCTTGGTATTTTTCACTATGAAGATGCACGTGTTGTGCAACAAAACAAATGTCAACAGCATAGCACAAATTATTGGTATAAAGGTTCCTATTCATAATCATTGTGAGAGACGATTACTCCTTCCACCAAGTTTGAATAAAATGAAATGTCCAAGGTCTGTTTAAAATACCTGATTTTATTCTTTATTTACACCTGAAACAGTCAGCAGTCTTTGATCAGATGACCACATTATTGTATGTGTGTTTGTGTACTATGATGGACAATCTAGGTATTAAATTTTCAGTGAATTGCATGTACATGTATGAGATATACATGTCTGTCTTGAAAAGAATGTTAAAAACAAAATGGTTGCTAGTTGACCATTTTAAGTCAAATTTAGAAATGAAATTGGCATGCATTAACTAATCTTTCCACCAAATTTGAAGTAAATCCGCCAACACATGACTGAGATCTGGTTCGGAACATGTCAAATTACCTATTATAGATTATAGTGTATTTTAACAACTAAATAAATTTGTCAGCAGTCAATCATCTTTGATCGGATAGCAAAATTATTGTATGTCATGATATACTGTCCAGTTTGAAGTGAAATACTCAAAGCATGTACAAAATATGTTTAAAATAGAATTTGTTAAAACCAAAATGGCCACCAGTCTGCCATTTTGAGTTCAAATCATAAGACATCAAATTGGTGCATCAACTGCCAATAATAGTTAATCCTTACATTTGGTTTAAAGAAAACTGGTTTAGGGGTGCCAAGAAACACGCAAAGAGACTAAACCATGAATATCCTGTCAATCGTCACCTCCAAACCAATTTGAAATGCACTTTTGAGAAGATGGTAAATCAAATTTGAATTGCACATACCGGTAATAAGTTGCATAGACAATGTTTTTTATAATTCTCCCATCAAAACACATTTTCTTAGATTGTGTACTGTAATATTGCATGTTAACATTCAAAATCACACTCAAAGAGATGTAAGATCAAAGTATCATGTATTCCCACATGTCTTTAATGTAACTTACCAAAAACATACGGTGTATTTTTCAATCTGCATCCTCTGAGCAATACATTTTCTGGTCCCAATGGCTTCAATGTTGGTTCTGCCCCATCACCCTGGTTGTAAATGTTCATTCTTCCAACAAATTTATACAGATCAGACTGTGGCTGTTCACATTCAACATTGGCAACTAAGGAGTCTAATGCTTCCGGTGTCTGTAACGGGGCTGTGTCTGTTTGCGAGCTGAATATCTATTAACAAAGACATCAACAAATTTTCAGTGTAAAAGAACAAAAACTGTGTAGGATTTGAATTTAGTTGTAGCTGTTCACATTCAACAAGGATAATACCTTTGTTGTCTGTAAAGTGAACAAAGATTTTCATAAATATATCAGCTACTGAAATCTTCCACACATAGCCAAAGTGAATGGGAAGCAGACGATGAAAAGACAGGACAATATTTTCAGAAGTGAAAACCCCAAAAATGTGCCATCGGTGAGAATCTGACATAGGATTTAAGATTTTTAAAGATAAGTTTCTTGTATAATGCGAAAATTAAGACACAATGGGGAGTCAATGTGTTGAGGTATAAAACAAATTTTGCATACCTTTAAGTTTGTCTCACCATCTAAGTTGGCAGTAGTGATATGACATTGACCTTCAGGATCAGTAGATGATAGCAATACCAAGTCAGCTGGTAATTCTTGATTTTTAACTATCTTTACTATATCGCCAACCTACATGCATAAAATGGTGACATTAAGAAAAATACATTTGTAGTTCATGATATACATGTATCTTAACATTCTGAGCATTGTCAAGGTGAATTTATAACATAATGGTTTGTGTTGAACACGAGTTGAAAATTAAATCAAAGCAAGAATACAGTATAGCCTAAAATCTATATGTTTTCCAAAGTCCCATAGACCTCTACAAATAATGCCTAGAAATGATGTTCAAATTAGCTTATTAAACATAATAATACAATTAAACATCACATTCATGGGCTGAGACTTTACTGAAACCAAGACAAGTAATATACCGTCTCCATTCATCAATCAGTTTAAATGCTACATGCACAAAAACACATGGTCTCTACACTGACACTGCTGGATGGTTGAAGGCATTTCCAATCAATCAAATTTATATGGTTAACAGCTGATTGTGTTCATTTGACCATCATTCCTATTGTATACATGTACATAAGCTAGAGAAATACAAGGACATTAAAAATTCAAAAACATAGTTGAACTCTGGTGACCTTGCCCTTTGTTATATAATATAATTCCCTTTATCATAGTTTATTTCAATATAAATATGCATTGTCATAATTAATTTTGAATACAAACAAGTTTTGGGGTTGAACCAACAGTGGGGAATCAGTCTACCGAATGTCCTTAAAAGATGTAAATATCTTACAAAAACATTGGTGCCTTATTTGTTTAATTATTTTAAGGGACATAATTTTATAGCTTTATTCAAAGTAATTCAGATATTTTAGTATAAAAACAAATGTCTCATTGCAAAAAAAAAGTGCTGCATTTAGATGTGAATAGATTCATAA